CAGCACCTGACACATAGTAGGGAATTAAATGTTTATTGACTGACTGACAATGGGTAGAAGTGACAAAGGAGGCAGATTAAAGCTGGAAATCAGGAAACATTTCCTGACAACTAAAAGTGTCTGAAAGCAAAATGAGATGCCTTCGTGTGGGATGAGTTCATCCTCACTGGTGGGCTTCAAGCAAAGACTGGATGGGTACTTGTCAGATAAGTTGTGGCAGATACTGTTTTTATCTGAGCTGGACCGGCTTTCCACAAAGACTCCTGCTAACACCAACATTCTATGATTCTGTAGTGATGGGGGACTGGCACGGAGAGTCCAGTCCTTATGAGCACGAATAGACGAATAGCCTGTTCTGTCTGATTCAATCCTCCATGGGGAAGCTGGCGCTTCACTCTGCTTCTGGAAGTGCTTGATAATGTGAAATAGAGGAGCCTGGCTCTGCACTACAGAGCATGTTAAAGTATTTACTGTGTGTTTTTGTTGGTTTACCTCCTATTGAGGTTAATGAATTTGATGAATTCCTAAGTTGGAACCGTGAGTGCCTACAAAAGCATTTACTGACCAAAACGATCTCTTCTTGCTTGTGTTTGAGCAAGGAAAGTGAAATAGTATAAGCCTCTGAATAGAGACAGAGGCTTTGGGCCTTTTATCTACACAGGCATCCACTATGTGGGTGATGAACACATGGCTGTCGCATCTGTCTCTCTTGTATGTATCTTGGTATTGGGTGAAGAAATATTGAGAGAATTATGACTTGTGAGCTTTCAAAGTTTTGGAGGAGCTGCCAAGAGGTCTGGGAACTGAAGTTGATTGCAGAGTTTGAGGAAGCTGAAACTTGTGGTCTTTAATACGGATTAATCTAAATAAACATAGATTGTATTTGAAACATCAACTGTACAACTATCACATCAACTGATCACATCAATAATATAACTACAAGATAGAAGAGATGTGTCTAGACAGAAGTTCACATGAAAAAGGCCTGGGATTTAGTGGACTTCAGTTTCTATGTAAGCCCCCAGTGTTCTGTGACAGGGCAGGGATGTGATGGAGCCAGCTCATACTGTCTTAGGAGAGCTGATTGTTAAATTTTCAGTGTGATCATCAACACCTGAGAAACTGACAAATGCTACAAATAAAAGCTTGATTTGTTTTCTTGATTGTCTAGACTTAAGAAAGTGATGAAGAAAATATTAATATAGCAGATTAAACTGAAAAGCGCGAAATGTGTTTCAGAGATCTGGTTGTTAAACATTTTCAAGCACACCCTAGAATGTGGGGAAGGAGAAGAGAAAGCTAACTGGGCCTGAGGGATCGTGTCTAAAATGAGGAAGGAGTTCTAAAATCTGCTCTAGTCAGATCACATCTTGAGTATTTTGTTTGATTCTGTGCACCATATTTTAGGGAACATGTACAGAGAACAATCAATACAATGAGGAAACTAAAAAGCCATGCCCAAAAGGATCAGTTGAAGGAACAGGATTATTTAAGCCTATGAAAGAGAAAGTTTGGGGGAGCTTAATAACTGACTTCAAGTATTTGAAAGGTCATCATGTGGAAAAGGAATAATTTGATTGTTTTTACCCTATAAGACAGAACTTGGAACAACGGGTAGACTTTGCAAAGCAGCAAATTTGGGACCTATATAAGGTAGGGGGATTATTATCAATTAGTACTATTCAAAAGTAATATAGACTGCCTTAGGAGGAAGGGACTTTCCCATCACTGGATTAAGCAGAGGCTGGATTATTCCTTTTCTTAATGTTATAAAATTGGTTGCTGCTCAGATGTAGGTTGGCCTGGATGCCCACTCAGTTTCCTTTAGCTCTGAAATTCTATGATCCTTATCTCCCAACCACTTTTATTCCTATCAACCTGATTTACATGCCCATTATATGAACCCATATAAGCAACTTCTTTATCAAATTCCCATGGTGGCTATTCCAAGTCTTTTCCATTCTCCTCAAATTACCAATCGCTCTTAGCAGATGACTACAGATCTTACATTACTGGTGAGATTGAGATGACTTACCATGAGGTCCCTCATGTTCCCTTCTCTTCACCTTAAAATGTCCGTCTTCACCCATCCTGTCTTGCTTTACTTCTATCTTTAAGGAAGAAATTTTCTCCTCCTTATTGCCTCTTGATATGATCCTCTTCCACCTCCTCTCAGTCCTTGTCCATTAATATCCTCTCTCTTGCATCTTTCATCTCTCATCATCTTTCATCATCTTCACTGACTTTCTTCCACCATCAATCCTGTCCTTCCAATCTAGTTACAACATGCTTAGCTCTCCTATACCCTAAAAAATCCCACCTTAATTTTTCAACCCCCCTCAAGATACCTCAACATCTTGCTCCTTCCCTTAGTCACCAGACTTCTTGAAAGAGCTATCTACACTTAATTCTTCATCATCCATTCACTGTCTTGTAAGACATTTTTCACCCTCCCCTCTCTATTGGAATGGCTTGCTCCAAGGTCACTGATGGCCAATCAATACCTTTACATCAAGTCTCATCTTCCTTGATCTTTTTGCAAGATTAACCATATTCAGCATTCTCATCCCAACTTCAAATACTCTTTCCTGTTGGCTTTTTTTTTACATTAATTATACTATCTTCTTTGAATTGTTTTTATTAATGTGGTCCCTGGATCATACTTGGAGAATACTGTGCCAACCTGAGGCATGTTTGGTTCCTGTTCCTCTTGTCACCCTGCTGAATATCTGAGTAAGACCCTGTGATTTCCATATCAGTCCCCACCAGGGAGTGTTTCCTACTCAGACCACTTCCTTACAATGTCCCTTAAGGGAAGAAACGTCAGGGTGAGAAGGAAAGAAGTATGGCTTAATTGTCTATATGGTGAAATTTCAGGGAGGCTCCCTCTGCCTAGAAACATCTGCCCAGAGAATGTAGTCTTCCATGAGGCCTGCTACCCTGAGTAGCCTGGGATTACAGGAGAACCTCAAGAGCCTATTAGGAAATAACTAGAAAGAGATGGTAGGGTGGCACAGCAAGAGAAGTCAATGAAGATACTGACAATTTTCAGTTGTCTTAGGCTAGCCCTGAGTCTGGTCTCTAAGGCCACAGCATCATCCTTGACCCTGAGCAGGGAAGGACCTCTGTTATTATTCACTGGGAAGAGAGTAATCCTTGCAGTGACTCTTCCCAAGGGGAGAAAGATGAGTGATAAGTGTCCCAGTCCACTGGAGCTGCTCTGGGGACTTAGGAGGCTTGCACAGAAGACCAAGACCAAACAGTGATGCTAAAAGTAAGAAGTCTTTACTTGGCACATTTTACTTTGCACAAGGGAAAGCTTGAGGCATAAGGGGATACACAGGAATGGAAGCAGAGAGGAGAAGGCAGGGATAGCAGGGGAAGGATGAGCAGTCTCCAGACTATGGCAGGAGAAGGAAAAGGATTCAATAATAGTCCTCCAAAGAGGTTAGTCCTTTTCCCTTGGCATGTCCATCTTCTCCTCTCTGTTCATTCCTTCTAATGATTGTGGGAAACTTGTCTGAAGCCCATCTCCTCCTCTAAGGCTCTCCCAAGTCTCCCACACATACCTCCATCCCACCAGCTCTAGGTATTGGAAGACAACACCTCTAAGACTACAGCAGCCATTCTAGTACATATATACTAGAACAGCAGCCCCTGAACTGGGTCAACAATGAAACAGGCCAGCACCGTGTGTTTTATACAGGGAGGGGTGGGGGTAGCTTTGTGCTCAGGTTAGTTTTCCAGTTCTGTAATCACAAGCAGATAAGCTGCATTTGTCATAGGACAACCTATCTCCCTTTCCTTTAAAGATATGGAAAAATGGAGGCATCCTGGAACCCCTGAGGAATAACCTCCTCTTGCCATGTAAGCCAGAAAACTTTGGTCAGCTTTTGTATGAGCAATGGACCCCCTGCCTTGTAAATCGCAGCTCAAATAGAATCAGCACCAGGTGCTTTGCCACACAAAAGGAGCCTAATGGCATTCAAAACCTCTTCTTCAGTTGGAACTTCAGCTAGAGAGCAATTGACTTCAACCTGAGCTAAACAGTCAATAGCTTCAACATTGAGGAGCATCTGTTGAGAACACTATTGAGGTGTTCAGCCCATCTCTCTAGGATCGTGTCCTTATCACTAATCAATGTGGCTCCGTCAGCACTGAGTAGTTGAGATGCACCATAAGGTCTTTGGCCCATAAACAGGTTTCAGGGCACCATAAAATCACTTTGGATTGTTATTGTTCGCATAAAACAGAATTTCATCTGCCTTCTTACTGAGTCAAGAATCTGCATCTCTCTAAGCTTTGCTTGTACTTTACTTTTGATAGAATTAAATGCAGCCCTCTTGGAGATGGATGAACCATCCTACTAGTAAACCCTGCACCACCTATCTGCCTTGATGATGCTTACCTGCTGTAATCCTGGAAGCACAAGAAAAACAACAACAATTCTCTGAATTTCAATGCAGGTTAGAAATTCATAGGAGGAAATCATATAATTTTAGAACTCTGATGGATATTAGTTATTTTCTACTCCACCTGCCTTATTTTATAGGTAAGAAAACTGAGGTTGAGATATAGTGGATAGAGCCCTGGACTTGGATCTAGGAAGTCATAGATTCAGATCCTGCCAAGACAAGCTGTGTGACTCTAGCATTTCATTTAACCTCTCTGAGGTTCATTTTCTTCTTTTTTAAAAAGGGGATAATGAAAGCACCAAACTCACAGGGTTACTGTGAGCATCATATGAGACAATGTATATATAACACTTGGCAAACCTTAAGTCTCATGTAAATGGGAGCCATTATGACCCAAGGACATAGAGTCCACCCTCCTTTCCCCAGCTATGTCCAGCCAAAGATTATTTCCTTCTTCCCATCCTCTCAACTCTGCTCACCCCCCAAAGAGACCAGTGTTTTTATCTGGACTTGGAAAAGATCTCTGTTAGTCCCAGGAACCAAGGATACCCTGTACCTCCCCTATTCAGGATTACCATAACTCACCCAGAAGCAACAAAAATGGCAGTAGTGACAGCTGCATTCTGCTGGGATGAAATAGACCAGACCAACTGAATTATCCACTGCTGCCCTGGGAGATGATGTGACCTGAGGCTTTTAGAAAGAGGAAGGAAACCAACATTTGCCCCTCCTTGACTCTATCTGTCATCAGGTTGCTTTTACCAGAACCATGGTTGCACAGTGGCATATAGGGATGAAGCCATTTAAAATTGTGAGGCTATTGTTGGCAATATGCCTTCTTTCTTTGTTGCCCTATAAATCAGGTGAGCACTGGTCAGTAAGTGGGGAATAGGAATGCACAAGAGGGATGTGCATGTGTGCTTGACTTGATCAGCCCCCATCAAGACTTGGGGAGAACCCATTTTGAAATTTGGGTAATGCATAGAGGAATGCATATACCTGCCTCAACTGGCCCCCATTGAGGCTTGGGAGATTTAGGGGAGTGCACAAGCCGGAATGCTGTGTGTGCCTTGATTGGCCCCCATCAAGGCATAGGGGTTATGGCGCCCCTTTTGCCAGGCCCCATAAGAAGGGTGATTAGGGAATGTAGAAGATGGAGCTCCCATTATCAGCAGCCCTCTTGAGAAGACTAGACTAGAATAAAGTAAGCTTGTTTAACCCCTTCAAAGCTGTCTTCCTGTCTTCTTGTCTGACCAGATCAAGAATGAATTTGTTACAGGTTGGGAGCTAAAAAACTCCAGTGCCTCCTGTATTGTTACTTGTCTTACAGTCCCAATGAGTTTTGATAGAACAAATAGCGGATGGCTGTTTCCTGTCTCTGTTGAGTGAACCACCAGACTTCCAGGAGCTGAGCTCCATACCAGGTTTTGCTGACAGCTGAGCCCTATGAGGTACTGAATGGTCTATTTGAACCAGCTGAGAAGTGGACCCAAGGCAGCCAATAGAGAATGACATGATTTGTCCATCTGTTATGCTGATTTGGGGAGCAAACTTGGAGGCATGAATGCTATGTAGAAACTGCTTTAAGTTGGAGTCCTCTCTCCCCAGGGACCAAGGTGGCATGGGGAGAATGTACCCTTGGTTGTTAGGGGCAAATACTTCTACTTCTGTTCTTGCTCGGTCATCCCAGTAGCTATGCCTTTGTCAAGCGAATTGACATTCATTGTTTCAATGAAACTGGAGTGGTATTGATGATAAAAGAGAGATAACTGTAATTTGAGGGAGATTATATTTGAATGGGGGCTTGTCATTGACATGGCAAAGATACCCACAGTTCATCAGAGCTCTCCCCTGAGAGGGATGTAGCCTTGTCCTGTGAGACCTAATGTTCCAGTAAAGATGAGATGGGATAAGGCTCCCCAGAACTTATATGTGCTAACCATGCATATGTAATGTAATATGGGTGAACTGGCCAATGGGAGAGGCCTATCCTTTGAACATGCACAGACATTCCCTACTTCCTTTGAGTTCAAGAGACCATGTGGAAATTTGATAAGGAGTCATTTTCTGGCTATGATGACTTGTCTTCTGGATTAGCTCCTCACCAAGCATGAATCCTGCCATGGATTGGCCACCAGTCTATCTTCTCATTGACCATAGCCTCTTCCAGGTTTGGCCAGGTGGTCTATTGAAATTTATGCGATGACCCTCCCTGTTTCCAGTCTGGCTTGTTTCTAGGTAGTTATAGTCAATTGAGGGAGGCCATAGTCTGCAGGCTGCATGTACTTTTAATCCCATTCCCTACCTATTAGTTAGCATTTGCTTTACATGATCCTCTGATCCCATTCTCCTTTATATCTAATCTTTTTCCCTAAACTTCAGCAATGGGGAGATTAGACACAACGGCCCATCATCTTTTGGTGGCACGCACCTATCATATTTGTCCCCTCTTATTACAGAAGCCATTAAGAAAAGTATCCTCCATCTGGAATTTGGGGCTGGTACTCTCCTTAGGCCATCCCATCAAGATGTTTTCAATTTTTACTTTTTAAAAAATAAACTGTTTTTAATTTTCTAGTTCTGAGTTTTGCCTCATTAATCCGGGCAAAAGCCCAAACAAAGATTTTCCCTTTTAACAGATGATTTGTACTGGGCTGGCTCCTCACCAGGTGGTTCCTCCTAGGAAGGTCAATCCTCTGAACTCCCTGGTCCAATGGGAAGCTGCACCCTCCATGACTTCCAACCATTGGCTAGGCTAGATGTTACAGTCCTCTTTCTGCTGTGATATGATAGGGCCCTTTTCATATGGAATACTATTGTTCTTTCTAAGAAAGGGCACAGACCCTTAGGCTAAGATTGGCAGAAACCTCTGCTCTTTGACTCTCAGGCCACAGCTCTGAGGTGTAACTTTGCAGGCAGGTGAGAGGCATAGCCTTTTCTGTTTAACCATTCTTCCCAGTTCAGAGCTATTGTTACATATTGTGAACTTTTCTTCAGTGGAGTCTTAAGCAAATGAATAAATATGGACTGAGGCATTATGTTCAGTTTATTGTTTAGTTATATCCAGCTCTTCCTATTTGGGGTTTTCTTGGCAAAAATACTGGAGTGGTTTGCTGTTTCCTTCTCCAGCTCATTTTTGCAGTTGAGGAAACTGAGATAAATAGGGTTAAGTGATTTGCCCAGGGCCACACAGCTAGGAAGTGTCTGAGGCTGGATTTGGACTCAGGAAGATAACTCTTCTGCCTCCAAGCCTGGCACTCAATCCATTATGCCACATAACTGCCCACACGATAAGCTCTACGCATAGAGAGAAAGGCAACAAAACAAAACAAAACAGATCCTAGTCTCAAGGATTTCACAGTGTCTAATAGGGGTTACGCTATGCAAACAACTTAATACAAACAAGATATATACAGGATGAATTGGAGATAAACAACAGAGGGAAGGCATTAGATGAATTGGGAAAGTCTTCTTGTAGGTAGGAAATGAAGGAAGCCATTGAGGTCAGGAGGTGGAAATAAGGAGTGAGAGAATTCCAGGCATAGGGAACAATGAAAATTCCCAATGTCAGAAAACGGAGTGTCCTGTGCAAGGAACAAAGGAGAGAAGACAGGAAAGGATGAAGGTTGGCAAGTTATGAAGGGCTTTGAAAAACAAATGGAAGATTTTATGTGTGGTGAAGCGTCATGTGTTACAAGGGCTATCCTGCCTGTAGCATGACAGTGTTGTATGACTTGAAGATCTTTCTTTGAAAAGACTAATAAGAATGATAATTTAAAAATCTGATTAAAAAGAAGGGAGCAGAAAATAAAATCAATAAAATAAGTGAGCAAGGTGAAATCACAACAAAATCAGAAGAAATAAAAAAGAATAATCAGAGCATGTTGTGTACTTACACGCAAACAAAGCTGAGAACATAAAAAAGAATACCTTCCAAACTGCAAAATATCCAAACTATCAGAAGGCCAAATAGAGATCTTAAGTAACCCAATCTCAGAAAAGGGAGTTAATCTAGCTGTAAAGGAACCACCCAAGGAAAAATATCTCCTGATCCCGATGGATGCACAGGGAGTTCTATCCAACTTTCAGAAAACAATCTGTGCCCATACTTCAGAATGAGAAGGAAAATGCAGGGCTTGGCAAGAAGGGGGCGCCATAACCCCTATGCCTTGATTGTGTGAGCCAATCAAAGCACACACAGCATTCCAGCTTATGCACTCCCCTAAATCCCCCCCAAGCCTCAATGGGGACCCGTTGAGGTGGGTACATGCATTCCTCTCTGCATTACCCAAATCCCAGAATGGGTTTCCTCCCAAGCATTGGTGGGGGCTGATCAAGCTAAGCACACATGCACATCCCTCTTGTGCATTCCTATTCCCCACTTACTCACCAGTGCCCACCTGATTTATAGGGCAACAGACAAAGAGATATTATTGCCAACAATTCTTTTATAAGCCAAATATAGTCCTAATACCTAAATGTGGTAAAGATAAAACACAGAAAGAAAACTATATGTCTATATAATTAATGAGCATTGACTCAAAAATTTTAAACAAAATCTGCCCAAGAAATTATTCACTCTAAACAAATGAGATTAATGCTGAAGATGGAAGGATGGTTGAACATTACAATTAACATAATTGATCACATTAAAAACCAAAATATCCAAAAGCCACATGATCATTTTAATAGATGCAAAAAAAGCCTTTGATGAAGGCTTTTTAAAAAAAAAAACAAATTCTAGGCTAAAACCGCTACAAAATACAGCCATAGAGGGACCGATTGTAATATAAAAAAAAGAACTACCTGAAACCAAAATCAAGTACCATATGTAATGAGGGTACACTAGAAGCTTTTCCATAAATACTGGAAATAAAGGAATGGGTAGAAAAAAGGATGTGCTATGAGAGCTCTCTTCAAATATTTGAAAGGTTAGCTTATGAAAGAATGACTAAATGTATTTTGTCAGGCATCAGAGGTCAAAATGAGAAGCAATGAATGGATGGAAACTGTAGAAAAGCAGAATCAGCCTTGATGTAAGGAAAATAGTCCTAACAACCAGAGAGGTCCAAAAGTGCAATGGGTTTCTTGAAAAATTAGCTTCTTTTCACTGGAGGTCATCTGACAAGATGAATTAGTAATTACGAGAGGTGTTATAGAGGGCATTCTTATTCAGGAGCAGGTCAGAAGATATGACCACTTAAGTTCTCCCCCAAGTTGATTGAACCAGTAAAACTGTCATGACACCAGAACTCTAATCTTTCCAGAGACGTCAATTGCTGCCCTTTCCCGTTCTCCCAACTATGTTAAGGCACTAAAAGAGTCAGTTGCTGTCTATGGTTCCATTCAGCATTATGTAGTTTCCTTATGTATTCTTTTTTTTAACGTTTATTTTTGTTTTGTCAAATAGTATGATTGCAACTCTTGCTTTTTTTGGATTCACTTGATATATAGTAATTTTTTTCCCCATCACCTCAGTTTGTGTGTGTGCATGTGTGCATGTGTGTATGCCTTTGTTTTCTAAATATATTTCTTATAAGCAACAGATTGTAGGGTTTTGTTTTCTTATCGAATTTCTCACTATTTTTTTTGAGGACTAATAAGAAGCACTTTATTTGGAAGGCAAACAGGTTATTACAGCGAGGGGATGGCAGAGGTCGT